TAAGCTATGCCTTGTCTGTTTTAGTGCTCCCCCGGGCCCCCTCCCCCTGAAATGTAGAGGCCTACTTGTACAGGTTCCACTCCAGTGGCCTATCTAGTGTGTCCATGCTTGACTGCCATAAGGCTCAAGAGGTATAGGATAAGACTCTGCGTGAGCAAAAGACACTAGCGGTCTGCACCTCAACCGTGTACGCCCTAGTCACTCTTTCAGTGGTAGCGGAGCAGTGATCCTGGATTCCTAGGCATAGACTTGCTTCTAGGCAAACGGCCATGGATTGGATTGACGACTGGGAAGAGCCTGATGCGGATGTGGCTTATGAGCCAGCAGCCTATGTGAATAGGCATGTGAGAAGAGAACCAGCAGCGATAGCAATGACAACACAGGTCACTACAAAGGTGCCCCCATCTTATGATGGAAAGACTTCATGGTTTTCCTATGAGGATGCCATAGACGATTGGTGTGATATCACCGAGCTGGAGGATGAGAAGAGAGGACCAGCATTGAGAAACCGACTAGAAGGAGAAGCAGCTGTATACAAGCGAGTATTAGACAGAGATGCATTGAAGGCAAATGATCCACCAGGAGCAGGAGTAGAATACTTCAAACGAGTACTACGTCCATATTTTGTGAAGGGATCAACCAATGTATTCCTGTATAGGTTTATGCAATTCGTGCGCTTCAATCGCGGATCAGCTGATATGATGAAATGGATGACAAGATTTCAGATCCTACTCCAAAGGCTTATGAGCAGTTGGATGGACATGCTGGATCCAGTAACACAAGTACATCCTCAGGTACAAGCTCAAATGCAAGCAGATGCAGCGATGACTGGAGTAGCTCCAACAGCGGAAAGAGTACAGGAAATCATGCAGAATGTCAATGGCAATCTGAGAATTCTTCATCAGAACGATTTTCCTTTAGGAGAGAATCTCATTGCCTTACTCATGCTGTCACTCGCAGATTTGTCTCAGGACCAGAGGAACACTTTGACCTCTTTGATGACTCATCGTGGTAGAGTCCTGCAGCAATACACTACAATAGAGTTGAGGACAGTTTTCATTGAGATGTTCTGCGCAACAAAGACTTCAGTAGACAATCCTCTGATGCAGCCAACAGGTGCTGGAGGTAGAAGATCATTTCTTGTACTAGACAAAGGAGAGCTCGATGGTACATATGGCTATTGGGCCGAAGATGAAGAAGATGGAACAGAAGGATTCCTAGATGCCCTAGACGATGTCTTTTGGGTATATGATGAACAGAATTTCTCTTGGTTCCAGAGGAGATTCCAAGGAAGAAGAGCCAGAAAAGGCAAAGGAAAAGGTAGAAGAAAAGGAAAAGGCAAAGGAAGATCAGGCCGCAGATTCTTCAGACCTCGTGGAAAAGGAAAAGGAAAGAGACGAGGTAAAGGCCATTATGCTGATGAGCAATCGACAACTTATCCAGATGAGTATTTTGAAGAGAATCCTTATGAGGACACTTGAGAGTCAAACCAAGTAGCATATGATGCTATTCTTGCCGAAGATATGAATGACTATCTTCAAGGAGAATATGAAGATGCCAATGACTTTTGGCAACAGCTTGAAGAAGCATGGTTTTCCCACAAAGGAAAAGGAAAAGGCAAGAGAAAAGGCAAGAAAGGAAAAGGAAAAGATAAAGGAGATGGCAAACAAGATGCAAACTATGCAAATCAACAACAGCCACGTTCTTTACCTGCACCTTCAAGAACTTCACAAGCATCAGGAAGCAACCAAGGTTTCTTTGCGCATTGTGTGACAACAGTAGCTGAAGTCCATGACAGTGAGGTGGACTTGCTGTCAGGCATGATGACCTCATGTCAAGATGAAGCTGACTGTAAGGTCAACAATGGTGAGACGATCTTCGATGACATGAGTGCCCCTGTGAGGTACTCTTTGTCAAAGGAGATGCTCGCAGATGCTCCTGACGGCTTTGCGCTTATGAGCGCTGAGGAAGAAGTGAAGGAGATGCAGGCTATTTCATTTTTGACTGAGAATCGCTTCCCGCCAACTATTGCAATCCTTGACATTGGATGCACTAGAGCTATGGGATCAAGGCGTGCAGTCGATTATTTTTGTAACTATGTCGACAATCATCCAGACTGTGGACTATGGTACTCCTTTGAGTCTACCAAGAGCAAGTTTTACTTTGCCAATTCTCAGAAGGCTTCTTGCTCTCAGAAACTGGTGATTTACATGTATGATCGTGCATGGACGATCCACCATACAGAGTTCGACATAGTTGAAGAAGGAGAAGTCCCTTTGCTTATGAGCTTGCCACAGATGAGGAACTTAGGCTTTGAACTCAGGCTGACACCTCAACATGCTTACCTGACATCGGTGCCTCTTGGTATCAAATTCTTGGAGTTGAAGGTTGCAGCCAGTACTCATCTTGTTTTGGACTTCCAAGATATTGCATGGTATCTGTCTGACGTGCGTTTGCAGGCTCGACGCGAGAAGAGCTTTTACTCTCACTTCACTCACTATGAATATGGCCATATTTCGGTTGATCACAATAGTGATGAAGATGAAGCTGAGCATGCATATCCTGTGGTTGACTACTGGGAAGTAGATCTTCACAAGAGAGAACTGACACGTCACCACAAGGATTACAGGAAGATTCTTTTCCCAGCAACTAAGTCCTGTCCTGTAGACACTGACTTGCTGGAAGACTTGCGACTGACAATCATCAAGAAGAAAGAAGGAGGACAAGAGATCAAGAAGATAGATGATTGGTGCAAGGCAAAATGGAAGGACCTACAAATTGGCTATGAATGGCGTGGTAGAACAATTTTTAAATTCAAGCCAGATGCCAAAATTCCAGATCTAAAGATCAGGAAGGCTGGCATTGAGCACCGTGGCATTGGTGATCCCGATGCAGTGGTGCGCTCCTCCTCAGAGAAGGTTCCCATTGCAAAGGACAGGGAACCAGGCTTCTCTTCAGAGAAGGAAGGTGCACCATCCAGTGCCGCGGAAAAGCCCGTGCCGCCGAAGTTTCGGTATACTCCAAAGGGTTTTGATCCATTTTGGAAAGGACACAAGTCGAAACCATCTGAGCCTCCACAGGATTTAAAAGGTGATGATCCTGAGGGTTATACTCCTTCAGAACCACCTGAGAGGCCAGAAGGTGAACTTGTAAAAATTCCTAAAGCATCAAAAGGACCATCAAGTGATAAACATGAACCACTTGAACCAGGTGATGGCGCTCTCGAGCCTAGGCGGATTTCAATCCCATTACCTGGTAGTGAAGTTGTTGCAATGACACCGGCATATAGGAAGATGTTACAGAGACTGGAGGACAAGGTAGAGCTTTATAAGCTTCATGTGAAGCACTACCATATGAGTCCTACTCAGTTTCGTAGACGTGTTTCTATGTTGAAGCTTCCTGACTCTGTTTTAGAGAAGTATGAATCAGTTGTCAGGAACTGCCGTGTTTGTAACACTTCAGTGGCACCTCCGCCACGAGCCAGAGTCTCCGGTATTAGAGCTTCATGTTTTGGTGATGTTGTTTTTGCTGATCATTGTGAGGTTGAACTTCACAAGAACAAGTATATCATTCTACTTGTTCTTGATGGTGCCACAAATCTTCTCTGGGCTACGGCACAGAAAGACCTCATAGATCAAACCACCATCCGAGCATTGAGACAATGGTCTGATGAGAACAATTGTGTTCCGAAGGCCATCGTAGCAGACGAAGCCTTTTTCACAGATGCTTTTGTTGAATACTACAGGTTTCATGGTATACAACAATGTCCTTGTGGGCCAAGAACTCCTTGGCCGAACCGAGCAGAGACAGCTGTACGTTTGTTCAAACGTATGTGGCATGTTATGAAGGTAGATCTGGATGACCCACGTTTTCGTGGTGTTACGGTCAGAAAAGTGGTCAAGAAAGTAGTGTGGGCAAGAAATTGTCAGTTGACTATCAGTGGATATTCACCAATAGAGATAGCAACTGGAAGACGTCCACCAGATCTTTTTGACCTTGAGACCGCAAGCCCTGAGCAATTGTCAGCTAGTGCAGCCGCACAAGATCGTACAAATCTGGAACTACAACGTGTAGCTTTGAGAGCTCATCAAGAAGCACGACAAGCTCAGGACCTTCGAGCAGATCTTGCAAGAAGGACTATGCCAAGTGACGGTCCTTATTTCCAAGGAGAGAAGGTTTTTATTTGGACTCAGGATTCATCAAAGTTCAAGGATAAAGGACGTTGGGTTCGTGCCACAGTACTTGGACAAGAAGGAGCTATGGTCCAAGCCAACACTGGTAAGGCAGTGGTACGTGTGAATCAGTCAAAGGTTAGACGTGATCACGATGAGTGGCATGATGTTTCCATACCGGCATTAGACGATGAGAATCCGGAGAATTTACGTGAAGATCACGAACTGTATGTTGATGCCGAATTTGGAGAACAGTCCTTTTTCTTTTGTAATGATGATCATCCTGATGTTGTTGAGTTACTTCATGGAAACAGTGGATTATCTTGGTTCCTTTCAAAGAATGGTGTTAGAGTTGCATCGCCTATGGATTTCAAGGCAGGATAC